TGGTGGCGAAGACGTGTCCGCGCGCGCTGATCCCCGGGCATGTCGCAGACGAAGATAGAGAGCTTTTGCCCCCCGCTGAGGAACGAGAACGAAATTCTGGCGGACAAAAACGCCAAGATGGAGAGCAGGGATGCGGACGCTCGGCTGACGAGCGTCGACTACTTTGCCAAGTCCCTGAGCGACCCATCCGACCTGCTCTTCTAGCTAGGACCAATGCTGAAAGATCCGGAAGGAAGCGTGCGCCGATTTTAGCGCTGAACCTAGACGCGACGCCCCCCGAACCAACGGGGCCAGACCCTTCCAGAACGGTACCCCAGGGACGCCCAAAACCGCCCACAGCAGCCCCACAACTCTTAAGCAGTACTCGGCACAACCACTCAAAGTTGGCCCCCCACCGGCGCGGGGGTTCGGTGTTTCACGTAGGGGCCCCATCCTCAGGCAGGCCGCCCTGAGCCCCCATAGGCTCGATAGGCGAGCCGCCGCTGCTCTAGCGCGCAGCGACCTGATAGGCAAAGGGCCCCTATCCACCACAGACACCCTCACGCTGTCTCCTCCGGCCTCAGCCGCGGCGCCGAGGGATCGCTGCTACAGAGCAGCGGCCGGCAGCGGCGCGGCCGGCGCGGCCGGTGGCGCCGGTAGCGCGAGCAGCGCCATCCGCGATGGCGTGGAGGTCGGCAAAGGTGCGTAGCGCAGCGCGAGAAGTGGCTGCCGCGCTCCCGACGGCAGCAGCAGCGCGAGCACCGTGTCCGGCTTCTCGTTCAGTAGCTAGCGGCACGTCGCGGCTCCTTTCTGACTTTATCAGCTCGTTTTTTTCAGCTTGGCCTACGAGGGGAGGGAGCACGAGCGCTGAGCAAGTGGGAGGGCAGACAGGTGTGTGCGTGTCGGGAGGTCGGGGCTCTCGCAGAGACCTGCCGGTCGTCGCGGAGCTTGGCGAGCGCGGTCTCGCCGACGCCCCGAGGAGATGCAGCCACGTGCTTGACGCCTTCTGACTCCTTCTGGTTGCGCCTCTCCTTCTTCTCCTGGATCTGCGCAGCTTGTTGTCGTGCCCCGACTTGAGGCGCGCCGTCACCGCGCTGATGACCCACATGCCGCACCACCGCCCTCGCCGCCGCCCTCGCCGCTGCCGCCCTCGCCCCCGCCCCCGCCGCCGCGCCCCCTCGTCACCACCACCCCCGCCGCCGCCCTCGCCGCCTCCCACCCCGCCGCCGCCCCTGCCTTCGCCGCCGTCGCCGCATGCCGCCACTCTCGCCCATCCGCCCCCTTCCGCCCTCGCCACCTCCGTCACCGCCGCCGCCCTTGACACCAGTCCACACTCGCCGCCCGCCACCCTCGCCCGGCCACCGCTCTGGCCCCCACCACCATCGCAGCGGCCCTCCCCACCGCCATCCTGCCGCCG